CAGCCCGTTAAGAGTCTGCCTTTGGCTCAGATCATGACCCTGGAGTCCTGGAGTCCCTATGTCAGGCTGCCTGCTCAGCAGGGAGTCTGCTTCTCCCCATCTCTCTGCTCTTTCCCCTGCTCATGCTCTGTCTCTCTGTGTCTCTCTCTCAAATAAAATCTTTAAAAAAAAAATCACGTCATTTCCCCCTTTAATAGTTTTTATCTGTAACAAATAAGGATATTTAAAAACTATAGCCACCATATCATTACAATTGACAATTTTTTAATATATTTGTGTTCTCCAAAGAAACAGAACTAATAGGTTGTGTAGGTATGGGTATGTGATTTATTGTGAGGTATTGACTCATGATTGTGGAGGCTGAGAATTTGGAGTTGGAAGGGATAGGGAAGATGTCTTTCTGATTAAATAGTAATTTTTTTTTTTTTTAAGATTTCATCTGTTCATTTAGTTGACAGAGAGAGAGAGGGATAGAGGGAACACAAGCAGGGGGAGTTGGAGAGGGAGAAGCAGGCTTCCCACCGAGCAGGGAGCCTGACACCAGGCTCGATCCCAGGTCCCAGGCCCGAGCTGAAGGTAGACGCCTAAAGACTGAGCCACCCAGGCGCCCCTGATTAATTAGTAATTCTGTTAGCTGTTCCTGAGAACCTCTCCTTTTAGAAGAGTAGAATATTGACAGCTTCAACTACTCACATCTGCCACTTCAGGACAAAATCAGCTCCAGAGGGCCCTGAACAAGATACTGGGGCAGTGACCTTTCTGTCAAGATTTACTTTGCTAACTGAACTGCCCGCACATTTCTCTCCTAATACCTTCCTCTCCAGCCCCATAAGAAGACCATTTGTTCTTGGGTGTGAACTATAAAGATATATCTGTGTTTGCAAGATCTGGTATTAGTTCTTATTCTGTTCTGTAAAGAGAGCATTTCTGCAACTGCTAATGACCAGAAGAATCTGATGGCACATCACAGTTACCAGAGAGCTTTGTGAATAAATATGGATTCCTGCATTCTGCACCAGACTTTGTTAATCCGTGATGGCTTGATGCTGCAGTGACCTGACCCATATTTTCAAAAAATACCTTCCCAAGTGATTCTGGCTAACGGCATCAGTGGTTGGTTCACACTTGGAAAACAGTTACCTAGATGGTATTTGGGGCTGGGAGAGCCATGAGATGGGAACGTGAGGAAAAAACACAGTTGCTCAATCTTCAGTGTCCCAAGAGTATGAGGCATTCACACAGATTCTCTTTTATCTACTAGCAAGTTTATCTACTACCTTAGGGTGGGAAGAGATACAGGAGAAATTCCCACTCTCCTATCTGTGGAACGTACATTCTGGAATGAGGGGACTTCCTGGATTAGAAAACAGATTTCCTTGTTCAGATGCACTTAGAAATTCACTCTGGGTGGGGGAGTGGGGATCTGGTGGCTCAGTTGGTTGTGGGCTGATTCTTGATTTCCGCTCAGGTCATGATCTCAGGGTTGTGAGATCTAAGACCATGGCGAGCTTTGCACTGGGCTTGGAGCCTGAGTAAGAGTCTTTCTCCCCGTCTCCGCCTGCCCTTCCCCTCAAAAAAAAAAAAAAAAAAAAAAAAAAAAAAAAAAAAACACTCTGGAAGAACTTGTGAAGGAGAGAATCTGGTTCTCTTAGAGGATTGCTCCCAGTGACGTTGTACAGCCAAGGAGGAAGGTCACACTCCCATTTCCTTGCTTTGTGTCCTGACAGCCACAGGGTGGAGCTCGATTTCTAAGTTTGTTTTCTTTAGCACGCGAGACAAGTAGGACACCAAAGCCAGCCATACCAGATTGTTTCCTGCTGCTTCCTTTTGGCCCCTCAGCTCTCTCTGTCCTGATAAAAGCAAATTTAGAGGACTTCGGTGCCTCTTTGAATGGGTTGCCTTACTTGAAGGAGCTGAAATCCAGAAGCTAAGAAGCTTTCCTGGTATGAAGGAAAAGGAGCCTGAATTTCACAGAACTATTAAAAAAAAAAAAAAGTGGGCTATAACAAATCTAAGGGAAAAATGACTAAATGGTAAACATGAAGATTAGGGACACCTGCACAACTCAGCGAGTTAAGCATCAGCCTGGGGTCATGATCTCAGGGCGTTGAGATCAAGCCCTAGGCTGGGCTCCACCCTCAGCGGAGAGTCAGCTTGAGACTCTTATCCCTCTCCCTCCCCGCCCTTTCTCTGCCCTCTCCCTCTAAAGTAAATAAATGAATCTCTTTTTTTAATGAAAATTAATACATTTGAGTAAAAGAAATACCCATGTACCAGCAGCAAGTCAAGACATAGATCATGATCAGCGTTCCAGAAGCCATCAACCACAACATACTTTTTTCTGATCATTTTCCCTCTGTCCTTCCAACTGTAACCACTATCTTGATTATGGCAGTAAATTCATCACTTTCTTTCATAATTTTACTACATGGTTATGTATTTCTGAACTGTCAGTTAAGCATCTGCCTTCAGCTCAGGTCATGATCCCAGGGTCCTGGGATCAAGCTCACATCAGGCTCCCTGCTCAGCAGGGAGTCTGCTGCTCCCTCTCCTGTTCCCTCTGCCTATGCTCTTTCTCTCTCTTTCTCTGTCCAATAAATAAAATCTTTTAAAAAAATAAAATAAAACAAAACAAAACAAAACAATTTAGCCAAAAGCCACAGAAATGATTAGAAACAATTTAAATGGTCATTAATATGTAGCTGCTTAAGTTTTGTTACAGCAAGCCAGTGGAATACCATGCAAGCATGAAAAAGAATGAGGAAGCTCTTTACATGCTGATATAACTGACATGTTATTGCTAGAATTTACTTAGTTGAAAGGATGGCTGCAAAAGGTATTATTTTAGGTAGATGAATATCAACCTACTTTTTGTAATGGAGGGGGATGAATATTGGGTAGGAAGTTGGCAGTCTCTACCACATCCTACCTCTTTGTCCCCTCTGTATACTCTTCCGAATAGAAGTAATCCTATCCTTCCCAGGGGTGATAGCCCCAATGTCTTATTTTGGAGTTTTAGATTCAGTGAGGTTTATAAGTGTTTCTTTGTGAAAACATTCCATAACTTAAAAGAATCCTCAGCTTCCAGAGACCCAACCCATAATGGTGCGATAGGAACTGGGCATACACAATGAAGACTTACAATGAAGGACAGAAAAATAGAGAGGAGATAGCAGGCACTGTTCTGTTGTGAATAACCAAGGCCAGTGAGCAGGAATCGTAAGAATTCACGGCCCTGACAGTGAAGCACTGTCAATTAGTGCTTCGCAGTGAAGCACTGTTGATAAACCACTTTGGAAGTGCTGGTTTTGTTGAGATGATGTACACCATACTTTGTGGTTCTTGGCTTTGCACTCTTGCATTTCTTACTTGTTTCTTCTTTTCTATGGCCACACCTTAGTTGGACATTTCTTGGGAACCAAAAAGCATTTCTAGGAGTCAAAAATGCAAACGAAATGGGTACATTGCTGTGCACTGGAAAAGCAAAACTTCAGGGGTGACTTGAGGGAAGGGAAGAAGGAGGATGACAGTAAAGCAGCAGAAAGAGTGAGGAACTTGTGATAACAAGACTATCTAATATTTAGTTTGAGTTCTTTTCTTTGGGCATTGCATCAGGAAAGTATGTTACATAGTAACAGATAATTTGTGCATGATGTTTGCAGAAAGAAGAAAAAAAAAAAAGCTAAGTACTATTGTGGACTGACTTCAAAACAAAAGCACCAGACAACAGTTAGCCAGAGTGCTTTACCTGAAGCAGAAACTCAAAACCAGAGGTGTTCATAAAAATGTAAACCACATGGGAATTTGTAAATATTGTAAACTGCAGTGAGAATCTACTAGGCACTCTCAATTCATGAAATGAGGGTGAGAGAGCATTTCAGCTACACATCAAAGGTTCTTGTTTGACACCTGGATGACACTATTGTCTGTTGATTCATTAACTCAGTATTTATTGTCTATCACACAATAGGCACTATTTTATACATAGGGCATGGGGATCCATCAGTGAACAATATGGACCAAAATCCCTGCCTTCAGATAGCTTACATTCTCATTATCTGAAGGAAACCATACCAATACTACACACAGTTTCCATACTGTTTCATGACAATAAATCTGACAGTTTGGGTGAAATGGCTAAATTCCTTGAAAGTCACAGTTTGCCAAAATTGACAGAGGAGGAAATAGAAAATCTGAATAGTCCCATAACTATTAAAGAAATTGAACTCATTACTAAAAGCCTTCCCAGAAAGAAAACCCAAAGCCAACTAGCTTCACTGGTAAAATTCTAAACATTTATGAAAGAAAAGAATCAGAGGAATCACTTCCCAGGTCTATTTAGGAGGCCATCAGTAGTTCGATGTAAAAGCTGACAACATTAGAGGAAAGGAAAGCAATAGACCCATCTTTACACATACATAAGTGCAGAGGTTCTAAACAAATCTAGCGAACTATGTTATCGATAGACAAAATACATCATGACCAAATGTCATTTATTCTGGGGCTGCAAGGGTAGTTTGGTGTGCAGAAATTAATCAGTGTAATGTATGATGATATAAATGAAAGAATAAAACTAATATCATCTTTATGTATGCATAAATGCATGTTATACAATCCAATAGCCATTCATGATATTAAAAAGAAAACTCTTAGTAAACTATTAATACAAAGACATTTCTGTAATCTGATTAAAAATAGCTTTAAAAAAAAGCAAAATTTTAATGGTAAAATAACTAGGGTTTTCCCCCATACTATATACTCTCTCATCTAAACTTTATAAATTCCCCATCACTTTCTCTTCTCTTCCCTTGTACTCTTTGGCAACCTCCACTTTATCCCAGGGTAGAAGCTGATGTCCAAAATTAAAATCACATCTTATGTCACTTTTTCCCCCAAATCAGGGACACCCAAGTATTTTTCCTGATGAATATATTAGTATGACCCACAGTAAGATGAAACTGAAATGGGAGCAGGGTTAAGAGCACGCAGAGCTCAAAAACTTCCTCCAGCCTCCTCACATTGCCTGTAACTCTGCTTCTGTGGGTGGTAAAGCAGATTTAGTTCTGGTCTGGGTTACATGGTCTGGGTTACATCCTCACTAAGGGCTCTCTCCAGACTGGCAGGCAGGGAGTGGATCAATCTCTCTTGGAAGTCTTGGCCCACAAAGACATAGAGCATTGGGTTGAGGTAGCTGTTGAAGAGGACCAGGGAGCTTGTTGGATTAACAAAGACATGAAGGATTTTGTACTTACCCACCAAGAGTATCTCTTTGAACCAGACTGTGCTTAAAAGAGCAACCAGTTGAAAGGGGAACCAACAGAAAAAGAAGGAAGCCACAACAGCAGTAAGGGACGGCTAGATTTAATCATGCTTTTGCGTATCTTGGCAGCAATGAGCCCACAGCACATAGCAATGATGGGCATTAGCATGCTGAAGCCAATGATAAATCAAATGATCCCGCTGGCTGTGAATATGGAGACAGTCAACTTTGTCCTCTCTTCAGTACTGTTGCCCCAGGGTGCAAAGTTGAAACTACAGTAAATATTCCCTGTTCCATCATTTACTGTAGTCAAGAAGATGAAAGCTGGCAAGATGAGGATTAGGGCAAGAATCCGCCGTCCGATAATCACTTTTGTAGCCAGACTTACAGTACAGTGGTTCTGGGCCCAGACTGGATGCAGGACACAAATACAGCAGTCCAGGGCAATGCAAGCAATGAGGAAGACACTCCCAAACAGGTTTATGTCCACCACAATGTGAACCGCCTTGCGTAGGAACGAGCCAGAAGGCCACTGTTCTCTCATGGCCTTTGAGACAATGAGGAATGGTAGGGTGGCAGTGAAGGAGAAGTTAGCTAAGGCGAGGTTCAGGTAACAGATGGTGCTAACTGTGCATGCCATCCGGAATCCAGCCATCCAGATCAAAAGCCCATTGCCCAAAATGCCAAGGACAGAAGTGATCCCAAGCACCACAGTGACAGAATCCACAGAACCGTGTAGCCAACAGACTCTTGGGGCATCTCTTCAGGTCCATGCATAGGGTTGGAGATGTTGCTTTCCATCTTGCCCACACCTGAAACATTTCAACAGTTGCCATGTCTCATCTGTGGAACCATCTTAACATCCCTATTCATGGTCATCGACCTCCACTAAGATCCCACTCCAACCAGGACACCCACTCTCCTGAAACTTGTGGCCAGTCATACGATAAATATAAAATTGGCACTCTCTTGGCTTTTACTTTGGGAAAGGATAGTTCTCCATAGTCCCGTATTATTCAGATGCATTCCACCTATCAGGCTGATTGCTTAGACAAGAGGATGACAAGGCTCCTGTTCACTAGCAGAAAAATACACTGAGGATATACAGTTAAAAATTGATTGGTAGACAATTATGGCCTCGGGAGGGAAACACTGGACTCAGAGTCAGTAGGTTCAACTCTCACCCATGATTCACTGCATAGATGCTGGCAAGCTCTTTCAGCCCCTGGTTCTCCAAGACTCCCAGCTCCCACTATGAGAACCTTTCGCCTGCTGTTTGCTTAGTATTGAGGTTAAGGTTTCAGAATTTGGTTTGAGTTTATAATTGAGGGCCTTGAGCATGTAGTTACGTTGTTACATCATGTGGATTCTGTGCTAGAAGAAGTCGGCAAAGGGGTCCCTATCTCTACTTTCAACGTTCTGTTTCTCGTTGCTTGATATGGAACTCTTCTGTGGGATGTGAAGAATTTTTACCCATTGCGTGGCGTTAGTGTTCTACGGGTAAAGAGTATGAGAGTAATCAAATTTGTTAGTAGTATCTGTTATCAAAGACCATGTACTGTGTTAACTGCTAAATATGGGGATCCAGTTTGATCTACATAAGAATGCTATAATGCTTGTTATTTCTGGTTTTCATAAGAATAAACTGATGTTCAGAACAATTATAGAAACTACCCAAAGTCACTTCAGTAGTAAGTGGTAGAGGAAGGACTTTGACCCAGGTTAATCTAGTTTTCTCTGTTACACAACCAGACACTGCTGGTTGCCCCTAACGTCCATTCCCCTAGTCTCTTCTGCCCAAACAATTTTGTTTAGTTACTCATGCTTCAGAAAAGGTGTTCTTCTCTCAGTTTCTGGAGGCAAATTCTGATTAGTTTCACCAGAAATTGGAATCCCCTTTGCTTTGCAAAGGCTTGGTTTGATAGTGGGCACATGACTAAATCCTGGACAATAACATGGGGAGATATCTGAGGGAGATTCTGGGATAGATTTCCTTGTGCTTAAGAATAAGAATCCCATCCATCAACAGATGAATAGATAAAAAAGATGTGATATGAAGAAGATAAAGAAGAAGATGATAAAGAAGATATAGATAGACACACACACACACACACACACACACACACACAGGAATATTATGTAACCAAAAAAAAAAAAAAAAAAGGAAATCCTGCCATTTGCAAAGACATGGATAGAACTAGAGGGTATTATGCTAAACTAAATAAGTCAATCAAAGAAAGACAATTATCATATGATCTCACTGATATTTGGAATTTGAGAAACAAGGCAGAGGATCATAGGGGAAGAAAGGGAAAAATGAAACAAGAAGAAACCAGAGAGGGAGACAAACCATAAGAGATTTTTAATCTCAGGAAACATACAGGGTTGCTGGAGTGGAAGGGGTAGGAGGGATGGCGTGGCTGGGTGATGGACATTGGGGAGGGTGTGTGTTGTGGTGAACCCTGTGAATTGTGTAAGACTGATGAATCACAGACCTGTACCCCTTAAACAAATAATATATGTTAATAAAAAAATACAGATAAAGAAAGAATAAGAATTCCCCTTTAGGGGCGCCTGGGTGGCTCAGTGGGTTAAAGCCTCTGCCTTCAGCTCAGGTCATGATCCCAGGGTCCTGGGATCAAGCCCTGCATCGGGTTCTCTCCTCAGTGGGGAGCCTGCTTCCTCTTCTCTCTCTGCCTGCCTCTCTGCCTACTTGTGATCTCCGTCTGTCAAATAAATAAATAAAATATTTTTTAAAAAATAAAATAAAAAAATTAAAAAAAGAATAAGAATCCCCCTTAAAAAAAAAAAAACAAAACCCCCCCCCAAAAAAAAAAAAAAAAAAAAGGAATTCAAAAAAATGTAGTGTCTTCATCTGGACCAGGTCACATCTGTAACTACTGCATCCAAATTCAACCCAGAATGTGTGACTCATGCCACATTCACAAATTTTGTGATCTGTTAGCGGTATCAAATATCCAGGGTGGGTGGGTTGGATGCCTGGCTGGCCCAGTTGGCGGAGCATGCGACTCTTGATCTCAGGCTTTTGAGTTCAAGCCCCACATTGGGTGTAGAGATTACTTAAAAATAAAATCTTAAAAAAAATAGAAATATCCAGGATGGCTATTAATAATTCATATTCATGAACCCCACCCTGGAATCTTTGCATAAAAGGACCTGTAAACCACACACATTATTACTGTGGATTATGAGGGCTCCTGTTTGGTGAGCCCTTCCAATGTGCTAGTCACTTTCCATTCTATATTCTCCAATTACAACAAACTTGCTGTGGGGTAGGAAGAGGAAACCTCAGCTCTGGCAGGGGAAGTGACTTGTCTAGTGAGTGTCACAACCACTAGGGGCACAACTGAATTTATTACCAGATTTCAAATGGCAACTCAGTACTTCTGTGGTAGCTTACTCTGCTTCTTTAGCACATTTGCTCTTCCAAGTTTTGCTTTTTTTTCCCCTTCAAGTTTTGAAACAACTATTTCAGTTCTTCTTTTCTCCTCTCTGCTTTTACCCTGCCTCTCCCCTCCTTGTCCCCACTTTCAGCTGATGCCATTGTCTCATATTATAATGGGAAAGTGGTAATCGTTAGAATTTTTTAGCCTGCTCTGCCGAAAACCTTCCAATCTACCTGCACCTGTTGTAGTGAGTAAAGAGTTCTCGTTCATCCCAGCCGCTACCCTCCTGTGTTTGCTTCGGATCCCTCTCTACCTCACCTTCCAGAGAACTTTCTTCCTGCATTATCCCTTTTATTTTCTGCCAAAGGCAAAAACCTAAGATTTTCTTTCTACTAGGTCATTCTCACTATTTCATAAACATTATCGTTATCTCCTCCCTTTAAAAAGAAACTGTCCTGGGGCTCCTGGGTGGCTCAGTTGGTTAAGCGACTGTCTTCGGCTCGGGTCATGATCCTGGAGCTCCAGAATTGAGTCCCACACCGGGCTCCCTACTCAGTGGAAAGTCTGCTTCTTCCTCTGACCCTCCCCACTCTCATGTTCTCTCTCTCTTTCTCTCATGCCATCTCTCAAATAAATAAATAAAATATTACCCAAAAAAAAAAAAAAAAAAAAAGAAAAAGAAAGACAGGAAAAGGAAGAAAAGAAAAGAAACAAAACAAAACCAAACCATCCTGGGGCACCTGGCTGGCTCAGGGGGTAGAGCATGTGACTCTTGGTCTCCGGGTTGTGAGTTTAAGCCCCACATTGAGCAGTGAGCTTACTTTTAAAAAGTAAATAGGGGCGCCTGGGTGGCTCAGTGGGTTAAAGCCTCTGCCTTCGGCTCAGGTCATGATCTCAGGGTCTTGGGATCGAGCCCCGCATCAGGCTCTCTGCTCTGCGGAGAGCCTGCTTCCCTCTCTCTCTGCCTGCCTCTCTGCCTAGTTGTGATCTCTCTCTGTCAAATAAAGAAATAAAATCTTTAAAAAAAAAAAAAAGTCAAAATTTAAAAAAAAATAAATAAATAAAAAGTAAATAAACAAAAATTAAAAAATAAAAAAGAAACCATCCTTGGCCCATATTCCTTTCCAGCTTCAGCCCTGTTTATCTCAAGAGAATTCTCTCTATGAAGAGGATTCACAAACTTAAGAAGGGAGCCTCTCCACTCCTCACCTCACATTTTCTCCTAAACATAGTCCAGACTGACTTTGCTGCTCTGCACTCCACAGAATGTGGTCTCCTCAGGGATACCTGTGGCCTTCTTGTTGCCGACTCTAGTGGTCCCTACTCAGTCCTCATCCTGATACCTCAGTGACGTAGGACCCATGTATGACCCCTTCCTCCTCCTTTAGACATTTTTCCTATGCTTTAAGATGTTAAAATGTATCAACAGCACACTCTTGGTTGTTATAGCTCAACTAAATTCTCAGTCCAATTTACTAGCTTTTTTTTTTTTTTTAAGATTTTATTTATTTATTTGACAGACAGAGATCACAAGTAGGCAGAGAGACAGGCAGAGAGAGAGAGGGAAGCAGGCTCCCTGCAGAGCAGAGAGCCCAATGTGGGGCTCGATCCCAGGACCCCGAGACCATGACCTGAGCAGAAGGCAGAGGCTTAACCCACTGAGCCACCCAGGTGTCCCTTACTAGCTTTTTCTTATCTAAATTTAACTTATTTTATTTTTTTAAAAAAAGGTTTTTTTTTTTTTCTTAAGATTTTATTTATTTAGGGTACCTGGGTGGCTCAGAAGGTTAAGCCTCTGCCTTCAGCTCAGGTCATGATCCCAGGGTCCTGGGATCAAGGCCCACATTGGGCTCTCTGCTCAGCAGGAAACCTGCTTCCCCCCTCTCTCTCTGCCTGTCTCTCTGCCTACTTGTGATTTCTCTCTCTGTCAAATAAATAAATAAAATCTTTAAAAAAAAAGATTTATTTAGAGAGAAAGCATGTGTGCACGTGAGCAGGGGGAGGGAGAGACTCCCAAGCAGACTCCACACTGAACACGGAGCCCAACATGGAGCTCACTCTCACAACCCTGAGATCATGATCTGAGCTGAAATCAAGAGTTGGTTGCTTAACCGACTGAGCCATCCAGGCGCCTCTGAAAATTTTTTGTTATTTTATTTTTAAAGATTTTATTTATGTATTTGACAGAGAGAGAGACACATCACAAGCAGGCAGAGAGGCAGGTAGAGACAGAGAGGGAAGCAGGCTCCGCACTGAGCAGAGAGCCCAATGCAGGGCTCGATCCCAGGACCCCAAGATCATCACCTGAGCCAAAGGAAGAGGCTTAATCCACTGAGCCACTCAGACGCCCCTGGAAGATTTTATTTCTATTTAAGTAATCTCCACACGCAACTTGGGGCTCAAACTCACAAACTCCAAATCAAGAGTGACACACCCCACTGACTGAGCCAGCCAGGTGCCCCCTCTATGTTTAAATTTAAATGTTAGGGTGTCTGTGGGCTTATACCTGCTCCCTTCCATCCTCTATGTGTAGTTTTTCCATAGTATCATTGTCTCATGGCTTATAATACCACACTGATACCTTTTTTAAAGTTTCACTTATTTAAGTCATCTCTGCACCCAACATGGTGCTTGAACTCACAGCCCTGAGGTCAGGAGTCCCACACTCGACCAGCTGAGCAAGCCAAGTACCAAGGTACCAACAGCCACTGACTTCTTGACATCTCCTTGTGGCAATCCTATAGGCATTCCAAACCTGACATTACCCAAACCAAACTCTTAACTATCCCATCTTCCCAAATCAGCCTCTCTCCTAGTATTCCATATCTATTTGGATTAAACACTCAGCTGTTAATGCTCCAAATTTAAAGTGGATCCTTGATATCTTTCTCTTATCACCCGACTCAATCCCAGTCTACCCATTCTGTCTGCAAAGCAA